TGAACTGGTTTAAGCTATATTCCTACCCTAAGGAGTGGGGGCGTCTCACTTATCTTGTTGGTCTTGGGAGGGGTGGGCTGTGCATGTAAGAAAAGCTTTCACCTGCACGCACACATACACACTCCAGGGGCCATCGTGTGTAAAGGTAGTCCTGGAGCCCATCTCACCTTGGCTGTAGCTCATCATGGCAACACGATAAGCACCAACCTATACAAATTGTTATATAGAGACCAAAAGCATTGGGTGGGGGGACCCAGATCCTGTAACTCACTCAGTCTTCCCTAGGGTAGGGGTTATTATTTCCCCCCACAAGGCGGTGGCATATTCCCCTCCGCCACACTTGGATAGATTGACTACATATCCATAATTTAAGTGGTTACTTTCTTGTCTGACAAAAATCCCAACCCAATAAAGGTCCAGGGATTTGTCTCCATGTGTAAGAATACTGAGCTTAACAAAACACAGCCATAATGTGAGGTCTCCAGGATGGTGAGCCAAAGTTACAAAGTGCAGTAACAGATGATCGGAGCATGTAGTGGCAATAGCAGAGATGCCATTTATCTTATAAGATGTCAATCTACCGTCAAAATGAGTTTGAAGCTGTTATTTTAATGTAAAAAGTTAGGTATTGTTGCTTTATTTAGTGCTATTTGCTTTTCTACTCATGTTTACATGGGAAGAAACAGTAAAATGTCTGTTTGCACAGATATAAAAGGTTTCACAAATATCAGACTGTGTTTCAAATACTCTTTATACTCCTAATCTAGTCCGGATTTGCCTAATCTAACTCTAGTATTCTAGATAGGGAAAAAATTATATTTACCCTTTATTGGGATTAAGCATAAACTAAAGTTTTCACAAGCTTGAAAGTACGTTTCACTGAGCATTAAGGGTTTTTTCTAGAATGTCTAATACCCTTTCATAACATTCAGAGGTGTAAAAACAGAAAATGATGCTCTGTATTAAAACTTATGTCTCCCTTAACTGTCAAATCAGAAGCCAATTTCAGCATTGTACAGGTTCCCTGAGTTCACCTGTAACCTCAAACTACAGTATCTCTTCAATTCTGGCATTTTACTGCTCCAGGTAGACTTAAAATCAATTAGCCTTGTTCCACATGGTGCCATCTAACATTACTATGTGGGGTAAGGTCCTGAAAGATCCCACAGAAAGTCTCTAATCAGCGGCTGTGCATTGCTGATGGTAGTTATACATAGTGCTGTGCCAATAAACATATAATATCGAATTGCAATAAAATCGATATCAATAACGATGATAAGCTCTCGGCATTTTTACTCTATGGATTTGTAAGAGCCAATCACACAGCAGCAATATGCGACAAGAGCCAATCAACATGCAGCTTTAAACATGCACGTCAGAGAACAAAATTGGTTAATTTCCTACAGCACTTTGCAAAACAAGCTGGAGACGAGGTCGGCAAAAATGAGGGAAAGCAGTGGCGAAAGTGAGACAAACATTGAGCAAGTAGTCAAAAATGATGAAATTGTCGACAAACAAGGTAGCACAAATTCGGTTATATGGAAATGGTTTGGCTTTTTGAAAAGCGACGAGGCGCAGATTCAAACGATCTGTAAAATATGTCGTAGCCCGATCAAAACCAAAACTGGTAACACAACCAACCTATTCCATCACCTAAAAAAGTGTCATCCCAGTGAACAGACTGAAAGCATGAAAATGCAGGCTGATGCTAACGTTACTCCATCAACAAGTAGAGCTAGCAGGGGGGCTGTACCAAAGCAGAAATCGATCGCGTCGTCCTTTGTGGCCATTACTCCTTATGAAGTGAGTTCCAAAAGGAGCAAGGATATAACGAGAGCCGTTTCATTCTTTCTGGCGAAAGACATGATGCCCCTAAACACAGTGGAGCACGACAGTTTCAAGAAATTAATTAAAGTGCTTGACTCCAGGTACGAACTTCCGGGCAGAAAATACTTCTCCAAAACCGCACTGCCCCAGCTTTACGAAGAGTGCTGTGGAAAGCTGGAAAATGAGCTAAAGAACGTGAGATACTTTGCTACTACCACTGACCTGTGGTCCAGCTGCACA